CCAGCAGCTTGGGAGGCTGAGGCAGGAGGATTGTGAGTTCAAAAGCCAGTTTCAGCAACTTAGAGAAACCCTGTCTCAAAATAAAAAACAAAAAAGGCTGAGGATGTAGCTCAGTGGTTCAGTGCCCCTGGGTTCAATTCCCAGTAACCCCCACTGCCAAAAAATAATTATTTCCTTTATTTTGAAGATGTTAGTATAAAGGACCAAAGGGAATGGCAATTATAGTGGCTTTTCCTATATGTTGCTAATATGTTACTGATTTTCCAGGATTGTCCCAATTTCCAGCACCACCATTAAACGGTGAGAAACTCCTTTTGATACAGTCTCCTCAGCGCTGACTATTCAGCATTTAATAACAAAATTCCTTGTTTATTTAATAAGTGCAAAAGTACATCTCTGGCCGGAAATCATAAGCATTTGCTGGAACTGGACACCACACACAGATCTCCCCACCACCTGAGAACACTGAGGAGCCCGGTCAATGTAAATAAAGCTTGCATTTCAAAGAATCATTTTCATTTATTTAACAAATACAGTTATTTGACCAATAAAGGCTGAACCTCAAGAAAAACATTCCTAGTTACTCTACAAACTTTATCTCAAATGTTCTGTTTACATATGCCTATGCAGAGCAAATGAGAGAATTGAATTTTGTAGCTTGAAATATTTTCTCTGATAATATTGAGTGTCTTCTTTTTGCCCCATCCTAGAAATGACACAAAAAAATAGGCCTTTCTTTGGGGTACTTCTGAGTCAAGGGTACACCCCTCAACGCACCCCATAATGACCCTCCTAGACTCCTGACAAACAAGAGTAGTAGTAATCGTAACGGTTAACAATAATAATAGAATCAGATCCAGAATTTTTCAAGTAGTAATTTTGTCATTACAATAGACAGAAATTACTTTGGTAGTTTGTGAACCAGTATTTTAAAAAATGAAAGGAGACTAGACAGCAAAATAAATAAGCACATTGCATGTCATAATCCTAAGTATTCTCTTGTGAAACTTCTGTTTGTTTTATGTGTGTGTGTGTGTGTGTGTAGGAGAGACAGATGATGTAATTTTTCCCTGCTGTGGGTTGCAGAAAAAAAAAAAAAAACCCACTGATCTAATCCTATCTGCTTCATTGGAGAGGTGGTTCTCAGGGATGCTAAAAGATGCCCCACGATACCTCAGCTAGTTAATTGTAAACTAGGATGAGAACAGAATTCCTTAATCTTGAGGCCAGTGTCTATGTCATCAGGGGGTTCGGCCTGTCAATCTTGGAGGGAAAAAAAAAGAAAGCCTAGTTGGGTTTAGCAGAGCCTATTAGGGAGTAGAGGGAGTAACTAGATGTTGGCACAAAGGATAGAATTGGAGCTTTGGGGGGTCTCCATGTATCTTTTAACCCACACCAAATTAAATTGCTTAACCAAAGAGTGGGCATTCAATGTTTGACTTGCCATTATTTGGGCTATTCAGTGTTTGACTTGCCATTATCGCCTCAAAGTAATAACCAAATGATGTCTATAAAATATTCAAATTGAGCTGTCACCAGAAATCTTCATTTACTTATTTGTTTATTTCCATCCTGTGCTGCTGGGGATCAAACCCAAGGCCAGGTGCATGCCAGGAGAGTGCTTTACCACTGGGCTAGCAGGACAGATGTGGAGAGTGGATGATGAATGGCCTCCTAGGCAACTGCTTTGGGGCAGACTGAAATGAGTTGTCCCTTGCTGGGAAGGTAGAAGAAGTACTTTACCAACCTTAAGAAGTAGAACTTGACCATACCCCAAGTTACTGTGGCCTTTGGGGAAACCCAGGCAGAAACCGGGCTTGCTGGAGCCACACACAAGCTAAGTTGTTCTCACCTCTGGGTTGATTGAGGCAGCCCTTGAATTGGGAGTGGGCACTCCTTCGTTCCTGGTGGCCAAGTGCTCTGTGACATCAAAGGCCCGAGGAGGACTGGCTTTCCTCGGACCACACAGCTTTTCTCCATAATAGATGGACATAATAGACGTCTTCCAGAAAGTGACTTTAAAGGTCTATTAAGAGTAGGGAATAGGGTGTAGCTCAGTGGGAGAGCACTTGCCTAGCACGGGCAAGGCCTCCGCCCCATCCCCAGCACTGCAAAAACATTTTGTAAAAATGTATATATTCCCAGAATTCAGTCCACGTTAGTTAAATTAACCAAAGGTTATAAAGGTAGCAGATCGGATCATAAGAGCAGATTTTGGGTGAGATAGGAAAGCAGGTAAGAGACCAACTTAGAAACTTGAGAGCCGAAGAAAGGATTTCAAGAAGAGAAAATAAGTCAAGTGTGCTGTCGTTCCTCAAGTCACACAGTGTCCTCTTTACTGTCACTTGTGGTTTCTTATGCTAGGTCATGCCCAGAATCCTCTGGGGATCTTGTAAAGATGCTGGTTCTGGCGCCCAAGATTCTGCATCAGCCTTAGGTGACACCTGTGCTCCCCAGTCTAAACATCACACTCGAACAAGGGCTCTGCACTTCCCGCCATCCCCGCCCCTCCCTCCCCTTTCACTTTAATAAATGCAATATTTTTATACACAAACGTGGCTAATATTTAAACATAGACATTTCTGAGCAATTGAAGCTTGGGATTTCATTAACAGGAAGTTAATAGGTGTGTATGTTTGTTTGAAAGGCAGTGGATCATTAATTATACATGTCACAATCTTATCTCTTGAATAATGGCATGTGTTTCAGGGCGATCCCTTTTGGGAGGATCAATATTAATGAGAATGAAAGAGGAAGGAAAAATGCCTTTTCAAAAATGTAGCCAAAGGTTAAGAGACATTTTGTCTTGGGAATGTTTTATTCACACATTTCTGATGTTGTTATTCAAACTAAATAGACTTGTAAACATTGCCCACGTCCTAGTCTTGTTGACGTTAGTAAAATAAACCAAATTCTTTCTTTGCTTATCAGACTCCTGTCCTTAACCTCCAACTCAACCAAGGCAAATTTTAATCTAAAAATTTTTTAGTGTAATTAAAAAACAAGGAAGCTTCTCTTTGGATAGGCAAGCACTAAAATAATATTTGAAGTATTAAAATGCAAGTTAAAGCAATCGGAAGGAATGTTACCTAATAAAGTGTTTTTATTGAATACTTCAATGCTTTTCTTAAATACTTTCAAGTTGGGGCAACAACAAGTAAACCAAAACCAAAAAAAAAAAACCTTGTTATATAGAGAATTACGGTTAAGGATTCATGCTGTTTACAGGGAAGACTCCGGCAAAATTTGATTCTAGTTAGGAGTCTTGGGTACAATTCTAGATTTAGGTCATCCTATGATTATCATGTGACCACAGGGCAAAAGAACAGAGCTGTTTTTCCTCTGAAAATGCACGTGTTTTTATTAATGTTTTTAAAGAGGAAAAGTTATTCGAAATGCCCAACCCCATTAAATCTCTTTTGGAGTATTTTCTTGTCCAATTAATTTTCTTATTAAATAATAAGCATTGTCTTCAGTAAATTTTTTTTCTCATTAGCATGTGAACTAGCTTTCTACTCCAACAACAATTTACCACCAACTTGGCAGTTTCAACAATATAGAGTTCTGAGGTCAGTAGTCTGATCTCTGTGGACTGAGTCACGGCGTGGGCTGGGTCACATTCCTCTCGGTTGGGTGTGGGTACCATCTGCTTCCTTGCTTGTCCAGTTCCTAGAAGCAGCCCACACTCCTGGTGGCCCCTTCCCCACCCTCAATCCACACACTAGTCCCGCCCACCCACAGGGCACCATTCTCACCAACTCTTCTGCCTCTACCAGTGCTGCCAACCCTTTCCAGGACATCAGACCCACTCAGAAAATTCAGGACGGTCCCCCAGGGACAAGATCAGCTCCTTAGCAATCCTCCTTCCCCTTTGCCATGCAACAGAACATATTCTCAAGGTTCCAGGGGTTCAGATGTGGACATTTTTGTCTGTATGTCTGAGTTTGGGGGGAATGGGGACATTATTCTGCCTACCCTAGAATGTCTTATTGATATTTAAGAAGCATCTTCTAAGAGAGGAATTGTTGCGATTTGGGGACTGATATTCGAATAGTACCATTACATCAAAATTATGTTCTGAGATGGGCGTAGTGGCACACATCTGTAATCACAGCATCTCGGGAAGCTGAGGCAGGAGGTGGCTCCGCAGTTAAGTGCCCTTGGGTTCAATCCCCAGTACAAAAAAAAAAAAATTATGTTCTGATCATATCACTCTCAGGTGGAAAATGTTGCTGCTCTTATGAGGCAGGGTGTTCCTCTCTGGATTGCATTCATATTGATTTCTAGATACAGTTCTCCTTTTCCAGTAATTACTTTTGTATTATTATCTTTGGGCATAAATTCTCTATATGGTATAATGAACCCTTTAATCTGTAACCTATCCAAAATTTATGGATATGAAGAAGAGTATTCAAGATGGCTTAACCTTGTATTTCTCAAATTGGGAAATCCTGCTCCCCCACAGGGCAAGTGACAATGTCTGCAGACATTTTTTTTTATTGTCACAATTGCGAGGAGAGTATTATGGGATGCTGCCAAGTGCCTTACATGCATAGAATAGCCCTACCCCACAAAGGATGATTTAGCCCAAAGTGTCCATGGTACAGAGGTGGAGCGACCCTGGCTCAGAAAGATGGAAACCTGAGACACTTCACCTCCACCTCTTTTAGTTTTTGAAGCTCTTCACATTTCAAAGACTTAGTTATTAGGCTAATATCTAATATCTAATGAGTGAGTTGATATTGGTATGTTGATTAGAATTGGAGTTGCTCATCAATGGAATTAGATATAATACTAATTAGACAAGGGGTCAGCAACTAAGTTTGATCAAAAGATCAACTAGAAGTTAACAAGGCAAGTGGATCGGTGCACCTCAATCCATGGGAAACGTGAAAGATAATACACTGAAAGAGAATAAGCACTGTCTGGATGCTTAGTGGATGAAATCGATGCCCTGGTCTCCTGCTTCTCATCTCTGTTCTTCTCTATCCACACTGCAGGGGTTCCTGGTTCTATGCCTAACGCCTCGTGGACCGGTAACCTCAGAGCTGTGAAGTGGATTGACATGGAAGATAAACACGGAGGCTGCCACGGTGAGGCATCTGTCCCCTGCTTTGGGCCACAGTGCTTGTTGCTGTTGGCATGAGGCGGCTGTGAGCACAAGAGTTCTCGTGCAGAGAGAGCTAGCTGCCCGTACGTTTAGACCAACCTGCAAGTTCCTACAGAGAAGCCAGGGGCTTTGAGTCACAGTCTCTTGAAAATCAGTTGAAATATCTCGCAGACATTCCCCAGCTCCCAAACACCTGCGGAGATGGAGATGTAGTTTCCAAATGATAGCAATGCTGGCTTCTTTAGAAAGTGAGCAAGTTCCAGCCCCTTACTGCTTGCTCCTCTTGCTGTTCCTTTGGGAGTGCAGATTTTTAGGAGAAGTGAGGTCATGTTCTCATCAAAGGCGAGCTGCACCCCCATCCCTCAATCAGCCTGTCTCCCACCTGGTTTGGAGAGCTCACAGTGGCAGGTGACACTAAAGAGAGAGGGTTCCCCTTCAAATGGAAAAGGACTAGAAACCCTATGTTGTCTATAGAATCTTATGGAGAAGGATTTTTATCCACCCTGGGGTTCATTCCATTCGGGATAGTGCCTGACACCTGGTGGGCAGGTGTCTGCTGCAGCTGTCATGCCTAAGGAGCACAGAGTGGGAGGTGGAAGCAGCAGATGTTAATTTTCTCAAAGTTCTGGAGGCTGGAAATCCAACAGTGAGGCATCAGCAGGGTTGGTCCTTTCAGAGGCTCTGCCTTTGCCGTGTAAATGAGCATCTTCTTATGTGCTCACGTGTTCTTTTCACTGTGTGTGCGCCTGGGTCCTAATGTCTTAAAAGGACCCCATCAGATTAGATAAGGCCCTACCCTCATGACCTTATTCTAACTTAATTGCCTCTTGAAAGATCCTGTTTCCACTCTGAGGTGCTGGGCGACAGGGTTCAACACAAGAATTGGGAAGAGCACAGATTCAGCCCTTTCACACCGTGCAATAAATCTTTCTTTGGCAAGTGAGTGATCAAGGGAATGAATGAGAACATGGAGGTCAGCCTTTTCTCCCTGGGGTGACCAGGCTTTGCGTCCACTCTTCCATTTAGTCTGGGCTCCCTTCATCAGTCCATCTTAGCTACACCTGTTACAGGTGAAAGCCTTCAGTTATTGCATCTCTTCTACATTACACCCAACCTCTTTCTCGACAGTCCCCCTCTGCTTTGAACAGCAGGCTTCTCGTGTCCTTATATAGGCATTTCCATCTATTCAAAGGCATATTCACATCTTTCCCTTCATCAGCCCATGTGTTCCCCAGAGGGTAGAAGACTCCACCTGCCTGCATTATCATGGCCTGTTCTCCCCGTTGGAAGGAGGAAGATGGGGAGAAGGTCATTTTGCTCTTTGATCTCCTGAGTTTTCTTTAGAAAACGGACCCCAAGCCCCAGTCAGGTTCCCAATATTTGCAACATGTAATCTTCTCCAGATCTTTCCATTAACCACTGTCTCTCTCCCTCCCTCCTGGACCCCTGCAGGCATCCTCTGTCTGTTTCCCCAGCTGTTACACAAGAGGACTTCACCGTCCACACCAGATGATGTAGAAGGCATCATCACCTTCCAGCTCTAGCCTTTCCTGCCCACACACAAGCTCCCAAGCCATAAGCAGAGTCACCTGGAGTCTCCTTGCCATTACTGATGTCCAGGGCCTATCATAGTACAGAAGGTGTAACCTAGTTGGGCTTACATTTTTGTAGGGATTCTTACAGATCACATGACAGAGGGGACCTTCAGAGTTGGCCTGTTATGGTTTGGATATGAGGTGTTCCCCAAAAGCTCCTGTATCGATGCAGGAATTTTTTGAGGTGAAATGGTTGTGAGAGCTGTAACCTAACCAGTCTGTCTTAACAAGGCCAACAGAGGGAGATGTAGGCAGATGAGTTGTGGCTAGAAGAGGCGGGTCACTGGGGACATGCTCTGGAAAGGTTGTCCTTCCCCACAGCCTTTCCCCGACCCCTGCTTTCTTGCTAACAGGAGATGAGCAGCTTCCCTATCCCAGGCCCTTCCCCCATGATGTACTGCCTCACCTTGGGTGCAGAGCAGTGGAGTCTGTGGTTATGGACTAGACCTCTGAAACCAGGAGCCCCCAATAAACTTTCCCTCCTCCAAGTTGTTCTTGTCGGGTATTTTGGTCATAGCAATGCAAAACCGACTAAAACATGGCTCTAGCCAGGAACCTACCTCAATGTGCAAGTCTGGGTAGCACAGTTCCCTCTCAGACAAATCTTTGATTCTTCTTCTTTTGGTACCCATTATGCCAATGAACGTCGGAAACCTTTTATGGTTACAGGCATAATAATTGTCCTCCAAACCACTATATATAGAAGAAAAAAAGGGCAGAATCCAAAGGAGGTAGAACATTGCATGTAATGTAGTGACTCAGTATTATAATCCTTTTCTCCTTGTCCATCTAATTTATGTTAACTTGGTTTCTAATGTATCCTGCAAAATGCTGCAGATTTCATCTTGTATAATCAGTTTTATCATGTGTTTCTTCTGTTCAAAAATCTTCAAGGATTATTCATGCTTATGGGATAAGAAGGCAAACCCTTTCTTCTTCATCATTGGGCCAACACATGTTCCATTATGTGCCAAGCAGAGCCTCTGGAAATAGCTCCAACTTCCAACCATTCTTGTCTCTAACCCATTCCTAGCAAAATTTCATGTTCTAGCAGAAAACTCCCACCTCTACAATTTTTCCAGAGGCCTTTCCTCCAGTCTGCCCCAAGCTACCCTCTACCCTCGATGCTGCCCAGTTCTCCCCATCCACCCTTCTCCATGCTTTCATTCCACAACTACTAATTTAATGCCTAAGATTTGCCAGGCACTCTTCCAGATGCAGAGGATGTAGAAGTGAGCTTACTGCTATGAAGTCCGGGCTCTTCCGGAGGTTACAGTGTAGTCTGGGATGCAAGTCAATAAGCAAAATATCATTTTCCTTCTTGGCACTGATACATATGTATCAGTTGGTGACAAATGCCAAAGAAAACAAATCAGGTGTTTTAGTCAGCTTTTTTGCCACTGTGGCTAAAAGACCTGACCAGCACAATTGTAGAGGAGGAAAATTTATTTGGGGGCTCACAGCTTCAGAGATCTCAGTCCATAGACAATAGGCTCCATATCTTGGGGTTCAAGGTGAGGCAGGACATCATGGTGGAAGAGTGTGGCGGAGGGAAGCAGCTCACAGATGATCAGAAAGCAGAGAGAGAGAGACAGCTCTACTTGCCGATAAAACTACATACCCCAAAGCCATGCCTCCAATACCTACCTCCTCCAGCCACATCTCACCTGCCTTCTTACCACTCAGTTAATTCCATCAGGTGATCAATTCACTCATTGGGTTAAGGCTGTCATAACCCAATCATTTAGTCTCTAAAGCTTCTTGCATTGCCTCACACGTGAGCTTTTAGGGGACACCTCACATCCAAACCATAACATCAGGGAAGAAGGAATGGCGGTCTAGGGAGACCTCATTGAGAAGGTGGCTTTGAAGCAGGGTCCTGAGGGTGTCCTGGAGAGAGCTCTAAGGATATCTGGTGAAGGGTGGATGGGAGGAAGAGAAAGTGGAGATTCTCAGAGAGCTCACCTGTGTGCTTGGGACTGGCAAGGAAGCCAGTGTGGCCGAAGTGAATAGGCAGAGGTCGGAGTGGGGAGATTTGAGTCAACAAGGCCAAGTGTGGCCAGAGTCTGAGTCTGAAATGCCATTGTCAGGGTCTTGAGTAGAGGAGACGAGTTCCACTTGTATTTTAAAACAACCTCACTGGCTGTTGGGATGAGACTGTACTAACAGGGCAATGGTATGAGTCAGATAGGAAGATGGTGGAGTCCCAGGGTGCTGGCCACGGAGGTGGTGAGGAGTGGTCAAATTCTACTAATATTTTTAAGGTTGAGTGTGTATAATTGCTGATAGATGGGGTGTGGGACATGAGAGAGAGGGGAAGAACCCCACTCTCACCCCTCCCTGGGATTCTGAATTACTGTGGACTCCGAAGGGGAAGACTTAAAGAGGAGGTTAGTAGAGAGGAGATTAAGAAGTTCAGCACTAGATAACACAGTGGTACACGCCTATAATCCCAGCAACTCGGGAGGCTGAGGCAGGAGGATTGCAAATTCAAGGCCAGAATGGCAGCTTGTGAGAAGCGGTCTCAAAACTTAACAACAACAAAAAAGGATGGGGCTGTGGCTCAGTGGGAGAGCACTTTCCTAGCATGCACGAAGCCCTGGGTGTCATCGCCAGTACCTTAAAAAAACAGAAAAAGAAGTTCAGTGCTGACATTTCATTCTGAGGCTTATTACCCATCTAAGGAGAAGTGTGAAAGTCGGCACTTGGAAAAGCTAGACCAGAGCCTCAGTCCCAGGGAAGAGATTTAGCCAACATAACCCCTAACGGCCTCTGCCATCTGTACCCTTCCAGAACTTCTCACCCACAACTCTCATTCTCCAACATATCGCATACCTCGGGACACTTACTATGCCATTTCCTTGTGCTATTTAATTCTCATCTTTGTCAAATGCATAATTGTAGCTCTTGACCTCCTAAGGGGAGTTTAAGCCCCTCCTAGGCTGGGACTATCCAGTCACACTTCTTTGTACCTCCTAACACTTGGGGCAGTGTTACCTCCTTGGCAGTCCATTCTACCTTTCTGCCCTTGACTTTTGAGAACAAGCATGTTTTGACTGTGTTTTCTGTTCTGTCCTTTGCAGGCCACTACGTACATGGCATTTGTATCTATGGCAACGGAGACTTAAAGTGGCTGATGAATTCGCAAAGCCTGTTTGCTAACAAGTTTGAGCTCCATAAGTATCCCCTTACCGTGGAATGCCTAGAACTGAAGCTTCGAGAAAGAACCCTCAATCAGAGTGAAACCGCCATACAGCCCAGCTGGTATTTTTGATCAGCAGCTCACGTCTGCAGGGGAATTGCAGTTGGACAGAAGAGCCCTTCTTTGCAAGAGATGGTTTCAGGACCACAGTCATGGCTTCAGGACCTGGCCACATAATTATGCTTAAAATATCCACTGGACACTGTGAAACACACGACAGGATGGCTGGGCAGAGCGATCCCAGCCCTTTGGCTGGTTTGGCAGCTTCTTGTTGCTCACCTCTGGGTTGGACTATTCCTACAATCAATGACAAATTTAAATACCATCAGATCTTTGCACCAGATACTCATAATATAAATATATTCTAATAGAAAGTAGGATGGTAGATAATCCTATTTAGGACAAAAAAAAGAATTCAGTTTCTTTTAAAAAAAAGGAATCCTCTATAACATCTTAATGGTCTTTACTCTGTGCATAACCACACATGGGCCCAGAGACAGCTTTCTGGGTAACACAACAATTTGTTCTAAACAAAAATAGATCTTGTTCATGAGTTTCCACACTAACATTTTCAGTTTACCCATGTCTGAAGTTCTGTATATGGTGTAAAGCCATTAACGAGACAGAGGATGTGCTTTAAGATAGGAGTCACCGTCCTCTGCTTCAGGGAAAGGACCTTGCGGGCACATAATGTTTCTCCATCTTATGCCAGAACATTCTTTGATCTTTCTTGCATGTTTTTCACTGAGAACACTGAAAAGTCCTCACAAGAATGAAGGCATTCCTAGAGGTGCTGTTACATGAGTCTTGTCTCAAGTTGGAAATACCTCAGAATGAATTACTTCTTCTGTGGCTCCCTTCCCCCCAAATTATCCTACTTGCAAAACAGACACCAAATTCTGCAAGGCTTTTAACTACACTGTGCTATTCTCTGAGTGGCTGTACACTGCTTGGTGTTGACGGGAGTGCCTTGATTTTTAAAGGCTTTTAATTGTGGGTGACTGAGTGTCATTTATTCCTCACCCATTCATTCAGCCTGCATTCAAGGAATAGTTCTTGAGCATTTATGATACTTTAGACCCATGCTGAGACAAGAAGAAAATGAAGATGGAAGGTTCTTAAAACCTTGGGAATAACGTTAATAATGAAAAGCCTGGTCTGGAGAAGCTTACAAAGTGTTGTATTGAACACATCCCTAGGCGCAGTTAACTATTGTGGAATCAGGCCAAGGAAATCAGTAATCACAAAATGAGGGTTAAATTAGAGATCATTTGAAAGAGAGGAGGAGGATACAGAATCTGAAGCGAGTAGAGTTCTAAGCATTCTGCTGGCTCCTCAATATGTCTCCTTTCATCTACCCTCATGGGAGTCTCATGAGGGCAGCCTGAGCCACCCCCATTTTGCAGATGAAGTAACTGAGGCTTGGGTTAATCAGCATTAGTAAGCACATTCTTTGTCTGAAAATTGGGATTCTCTTACCGGTCTTCATTTCCTGAGCTGGCATATTGAGAGAAGATGAAATAAAATGAAATGAAGCCATATTTACTATACCAGAGAAGGTAGATTTTAAGCATGATCTCAGTGTTAATATTGAGAAAAAGTTCTGGCACCTCAGAAAGATGTGAAGTCTACTCTAGTATTCCTCTAATCCACTGAATTCCTAAATATTTATTTATTCTAATGAAAACAATGACTACAACAGATGATAGATTTAATTAACACAATTTTATTTTTTTTCTATAATTGTTCCTATTGAATGTTAATCATATTTAAAGGGAATGACTATGATAAAACTTTATTTTTCCTGTTACTGAAAAAAAAAAAAGGAACTGTATTGGGCAGTAAAGGGTCGAAGGGTAGGAAACACATCCAGGGTCGAGAGTGAAGTCTAAAAATGGTCTCTTTTCAACTTGTTAGTTAAGTGAAACACCTGAGAAGAAGAACTGTTTTACACTGGATCTTACTCATATAGAATGAGATGTTTTTCTGGAATAGAAGATGTTTACACGTCCCTTGCTGGTCATCTCTCCTATAGCTTCAATAATCTTGGAAGAGTGGAGTGGAGTGTTCGAGCTAGTAGATTTCTGCTAGCCCATCGAGAAGCCCTGAAACTACTGTAGCCATGTTTGTTTTTGATAATGTTCTGGTTTTTTTCTTGGAAATAAATTAATATATTGTTTTACACCTTTGGGGATATTGTGTATGTTTATTTGGTGGTTGCTTGAAATCCGATAAGAACATTGCTTTAGTCAGCTTTCTCGCTGCTGTGACTAAAGGACCCAACCAGAACAACTGGAAAGCAGGAAGGTTTATTTGAGGGCTCATGGTTTTAGAGGTCTTCGTCCATAGAAGGCTGGCTCCATTCCTCAAGACTGGAGGTAAGGCTGAACATCATGGCGGGAGAGTTCAGCAAAGGGAAGCAGCTCACCTGGTGATCAGGAAGCTGAGAGAGAGAGAGTCCACTGGCCAGATAATTAAACTTTCCCTTTGCAGGGTGTTGGGAGAGTAATTGGAAATGATAGAGGAGAAAGCAAAATGGAAGATCAACTTTATTTCAATTAGGCACAATTATTTAAAAATTTGAGGCAAGAATAAGTTATCATTTGCTTGCGCTGTGAATTCATTTTTTGAAACTCAAGACATAATTTAGGAAAAAATTTTGTGCTGATATTATCCGATTTACTTATCAAATGCTAAAGTTTTTGAGCAGCACTTCAGCTGTAAGTTTGCTAAATAAATATCACTTCTGATGGACACATGGAAAGTAACCTCGTGAAGGCATCTTACATACCATTGTTTAAATGAAAAATATCTTAAAGCTAAAATGAAAAACATCTCAGACCACAAAGTAATGAGAATAGATGCTCATAAATTGAAACTAATACAAAATATAGAATATAAGTGAAATAATATGGGATAATATAAATAAAAAGTGAACTATCCTCCCTAGGGGTAATCACTCTGATGTATGTTAGGTACAGCTTTTGCAAACTGCAGTGACATACACACTAAATATGCATGCATCTCCAACAGTGCTGTCAGTAAGAATGTCTATGGTGACAAAAATTCTTTATATCTGTGCTTTCCAGTAGGGTAGCCAGCATGCACAGGAGCTACTGAGCACTTGAAGTGTGTTAGTATTTCTCCATATGGCAGAGAAATGTTATTTTTAACCTTATTTAGCTTTACTTGATTTAAACAGACACATGTGATTCATGGCTTCTGCATTACACAGCACATTCCTGAAGGTAGACAGCACTTATGTGAATGTGTTTACAGAAAATGGAAAAACACACATACTTTTTTCAAAATAAGTTGATTATATGGGTACATAATAGAAATTATATCCTTTCCCGACCTACTAGTTTAGACCTTTTAAAAATAAACTATTTAGCTTAGAATAAATTTAGAAAATGAAAGTACAGAGTTCCCAGGTACTCCATATTCTGTCCCCCCATTATTAACATCTTACATTAGTGTGGTACACTTGTCGAAGTGAATGAGCCAATGTCGATACAACACCATTCAACTTTATACTTCAGATTCCCTTACTTTTTATTTCATGCTCTTCTCCTATCCCAGATCCCACCCAGGATAACACACTAGATTTAGTCATCCTTCTCCAACAGGCTCCTCTTGGCTGTGACTGTTTCTTAAACTTTCCTTGTTCTTGATGACCTTGACAATTTTGAGAGTACTCCCCAAATTCATGAGTCGAAACTTAGTCATCAATGTGATGGTATTGGCAGGTGGGACCATTAAGACGTGATAGAGACTGGTGCCCTTATGAGCAAGTCCCTCACCCCTTCACCATGAGAGCAAGAGGGTGCCATCTATGAACCATGAAGTGGTCTCACCAGATGTCAAGCTGGCTGACATCTTCCCTGCCTCTAGAACCATGAGAGATAAATTTCTGATATTTAGAAGCCACCCAAGTTTTGGGTATTTTTGTTACAGCAGCCCAAACAGACTGACTTTCAAAAAGGGAAATTCTATACATCTCTATTTCAGACTCTGGAAATGATTGAGAAGAATAAAAGAGAAGAGCTTCCATAGTCACATCACTGAGAGCGGTGAGAGATGTGAGGGCTGTCTGGCTGTGACATCTGTCACCCCAGGGATCACCAGTGTTGATTTTGGCTGATTTGGCTGGATAGGTAGGTGTCCCCTTCCTCCCTAATGGCTCTGTGTGCATGCCTCCTGAATCTGGGCTCACCATAAAAATGAATGTTCTTCTGTCAAGCGTGAATGAATAGCTGTGGTCCCCTGCTAGAACCTCCAAGCAAGCTCACGAGAAAGTGGTGAAGAAGAAAATAGCAGGTATTCAGAGGTTAAAATGTGACCTGTGGTCTCATAGATCAGTGGTTATAAACCCTGGATTCAGATTCATTTCTTATTGAGTAGATGTAATGGTTCACTGCAAGGGAGGAGGAAAAGCACGGATTACCGCCACTTCTACACACTTAAACTCTGGTGCTCAAACGCCTTTCATGACATACCTCTGAGCAGGTGAGGTGAGGTAAGGCCATGATTAGCATTCACACCATGGCTTTACAGATAACCCTGCAGAAAGCATTTAAATTAGACTTGCCAGTGTTGTTTATCAAAGATAACCCAACAGAAGAGGAATAGTTTAAAGAATAACCAGAGTAACAACACAAGATTCTTTAGGGGTAACAGCTACAGAAAGCAACAGAATGACTTAAATACGCAATAGAGAAATATTTGAAATGTAGGAAATTAACTAAAACACTGATATTACAGTGATTGCCATGCATGGAAATTTCCCTACCCTGATATGTGATAGAGAAGCTTTTTTAAAGGATGGTGAAAATGAGGAAATGTCTTTTTAAAACTTCTACAAATAAAAATAAGAATAAAGACACACTGCTGTGTTTGCAAAGGATTTTTGAACAGGAAGATTTCATTCCATCTTTTACATATTTAACTGTGCCAGGGTCAAGTTCTAGGTTTATAGTAGGTATTAAGGCTGACTGGAGTCCCTCCCATGGTAACAGTGGATACTCATTATGCACGTGACAAAGGGGTCAGGTTTTTCTCAGCATTATTTTATGACTGAAAGCTTTCTTAGGAATATTTGACTCCCACCTGTATTAATCTCTGTGTTTATTTTTGATTACTTGTGTTAGGGTGAGATTGCAATAAATCACTGAGTCGAACTTAAAGCAGGAGATGGAATCTTTATTCACCAGTTGGCAGTCTGGATCCACCAGCTGGTGGGCCAAGGGACAGGTTGCAAGTCTACACCCTTCAACCTCCTCCCAGGGTTTGAGTACACCTTTTATAGTCCAAACCCATATTAAAGCATAAGTGGCTGTTGCTATGATTCAATACCATAAACAAATGTCATGAGATCAAAAATCACAAGAGAAAAGGGATTGGGCCAAAATGTCCTTAGTTGAGTACAAGTTAGATAATGGTTACTAAGGACAATAAATCTCTGACAGGGTACATAGTCCAAGAAAAATGGGAGCCAAAGAGAGAACACTTTTACACTATATAAGAATTACCATTTTGTGTTGCCAAAACATGCTCTGCTAAGAAATTGCTGATGGGTACAGAGGCAGGGCTTTCCATGGGAGAAGCATTTCTTACATGACGTGGAGTCTCAGGGCAAAATGGAGTCTGTTTGGTCATTGCCCATATAGCCTGCCCCATAAACACAATTATGTAAGCACTTTCTACCTGCCGGGCATTGAGGTAATTGTTGAAAATCAGCAGACTTGTCTTCATAGAACTTATTAAAAATGTGTCTTTGTAAATTTTCAAGAACATTTTGTATTTTATTTTCTAACAAAAGAATGTGAAAGATTATGACTGGTTCCACATCTGGTTCTATATCTGAAGCAAGTCAAATGTGATGTCTCCTAGTCACCATTAACTTAAAAAAGAAAGAAAAAAAAAAGATTGGCAGGTTCTTTATATTCTAGTTGGAGTGAGAAAAAAAATTACAAAATATTCCAATGAAGATAATTTTAGACAGTGTTTAAATGCTGTGGAGAAAAGAAAGCAGCGTGTGGCGACACAGGAGAATAGACGCAGCGGGTTAGGGCTTCAGACGAGGCTGTCCGGGAAGGCGGGTCTGCAGGTGAGACATTGAGATTGCAGTTTTGTCATCTGCAAATGATCACATAGACTGTGGCTGGGCATCAGGACTTGCCTTCACCAATGTGCTTTTTGACCTTGATAAAAATTCAGCCTGTCAAGGGCTCCTTGGAGAAAAAAACTGGTTGGGAAGCTTGGGCAGGGCAGGCATGAGATGGGCCTGGAACATCCTGTTGCACAGGAAAGAGGGAAGTGCTAAAAAAGTGATGCTAATTGACAAGTGATACATTCCTTTGAATTTAAAGGATCAGGAATCACCATAAGGGGCTCCTAGTGGCTCAACCTAGGACACTTTGAGCACCAAAATAAATAATGAGGCCAGGCGTGGTGGCACACACCTGTAATCCCAGTGGCTCGGGAGGCTGAGACAGGAGGATAACGAGTTCAAAAGCCAGATTCAGCAATGGTGAGGCACTAAGCAACTCAGTGAGACTTTGTCTCCAAATAAAATACAAAATAGGGCTGGGGATGTGACTCAGTGGTTGAGTGCCCCAGGGTCAATCCCTGTTAAAAATAAATAAATAAATACATACATACATACATACATACAGCAACAGATTGCAATCCAATGACCAAAATAAGAATCCATGGGCAAATATATGTGTATGTGTACACACATAAACATATATATGGACACACACATGCATAGATAGACACATTGTTAAATAAAAATTTTAAGAGGACATTGACTTGAACCAAGCTGCTGCTCTAGATGCCAACAGACCAAATATATAACACAAAATTAGCCTAATTAAATCAACCATGATTCTCTAACCCAAGGGTCAGCAAAATTTTTCTGTGTATGGCCAGAGGGTAAATATTGAAGGCTTTGTGGGTCACATGATTTCTGTTACAATTACTCATCCCTCCTTTTAGAACCAAAGACAGAGAGTAAACATGGCTGCTGTTTTGGGGTTTTATTTTGCGGTACCGTGCATTGAACCTACTGAGTTCAATCTGTATATAGGTCCCTGGCTCTTTTTATTTTTTTATTGAGACAAGGTCTCACTAAATTGCCCAGGCTGACCTTGAACTTGCAATTGTCCTACCTCAGCCTC